GCGCTCTTTCTCTCCCCCCTCAGCGCCATGGTTTATTTTAATTGAAAATTAGCAAAACAAAACATGGGCAAGAGGCTCCCTGAATGGGGCCCCTTTCTCTGGGAGCTCCTGGGCCGTTGAATAATGCATATGGGAGAGAGTAAACAGCAGCAGCGGGCCTGGCTCTGGAACAATGGGCCGCTCTGAGCTCAGCGAGGGCGCCTGATTTTATTACTGACCTGTCAATCCTCCCCCCGGCCTGCGAAGCGTGGGACCGCGGCCAGGCAGCAGCTGCTGACCGGCCAGAGCTGACCTGTCCGCTTGGGCGAGCTGGATTTCAGCACACGCCCACCGGCTCGGACCCACATACCTTCACTGGAGCACCACCGCAGGGATGAGGAGCACAGCAGGCCCGCTGGAGACACGTGGATGCTGCTATACGGAAGTGCTGCTGTCTGGAGACGAAGAAAAAAAAAACATTTGTTTGACCAGTGTTACCCTTATGCTTGTACTAAAAGAAAGGAAAACATTTGTACTGAATATATATTAAAAAAATAAATGTACTAAAAATATTTCTGTACCTTATACTGAATTTTTATTCATTCATTAATTAGTTTTTTTATTTATGTATTTTTTTTTACTGTTGTTGTTATTGTAATTAAATTTATTTGACCACAAATTCAGTAAAACAGTAATATTGTAAACTATTATTACAAATTTAAATAAATGTTTATAAATGTCACTAGATTTATTGATGAATTCTACACTGTAGAATTTGTTGTATTACAGAGGTACATACTACACTGTATTATTGTAACACAGAAGTTAATAATGAGTAAATAAAGTATGATGCGTTAAATATAGCTGGATGTATTAGATCAGTGGTTCTCAAACTGTGGTACGTGTACCAATAGTGGTACGCAGAGGAATTAAATATCTTATGTACATGCTACACACATTTTAAAATTTATCAAAAATTATGTATATAACATGGCATATGTGACATATAGCCTATATTTCTGAGGTAATCTGCCACGTTTTTTTTAACTGTGCAGAGATGTAGCTGCTTTACTGGGCCTACTACGCTACTGTATTTCAATACTGCTCATTATGGTGGTACTTGGAGAGACAATATATTCTGAGGTATTACTTGATGAAAAAAGTTTGAGAACCACTGTAAAAAAATCATTAATACAGTAACACAGTAGCACTGAAAAGTATTATACCATGTAGAAATTCAATATTATTCCTTTAATTTTCTCCACAATGGAAAAGTAAACCACTGCAGTTTTAATTTTGTTCCAAATACTCATATTTTTCTATTTAATGCAAATATACTCTTACATGAACTTGAGTAAGGGATAATCAAAGGCTTACTATGCGTTAAAGGATTTTAATGCGCGACGTGGAGGTGAAGGACCAGCACAGCACACTAGAGGAGTGTGGTTGCCAGTGGTGTAAAGTAACAAATGACAAATACTCAATTTACTGTAATTGAGTAGTTTTTCTCAGGATTTGAAATTTGCTAAGTAGTTTTAAAAATGAGTACTTTTACTTCCCCTTGAGTACACTTTTAGTGCTGTATTGGTACTTTTTACTCCACTGCTTTCCTTCAACCAGCAGTCACTACTTTATTGTTTCTTGTCTATGGGGATAGGAAAAATCAGTTCTGTGATTCCTGTCCAATCAAATTTCACATAGAAGATAAATCGCTTCATAATGAATTACCTTAAGACATGCAGCAAACAGTTTGAAGACCATGTCCAAAATCTCTGCACGCAATGACCCAAAGACTGTTTAGATGCATGCCACCGATGAGAAGATGATGGATGTTTATGGTACTGTAATGTTTACAGTAAATAGCCATAACACCCAGCAGGCAGAAGACGTCAACATCACAATAGATTGATGTTGTACCCCAATGTCGTGGGATGTTGCATTTTGTTTGGAAATGAAAATCAGGTTGATGTCGGAACCCAATGTCAGGCCGATGCCAATGTCCAACATAAAACCAACCAAATATCAACGTCTAATGATGTTACAGTTTGATATTATGTGGACAACACCACTATGATGTGTATCAGATGTTACATTTTGGTTGCCATGCCTGATGAATAAATGCCAATGTTGGACGTCAATATGACGTTGGTCATTTTCTAAAAAAACCTGAAATTAACCAAATATCAACATCATTTGACATCATTATTGGACATCAAAATAACGTTGTCCTTAGATGCTGGCGAGACTTGAATTTTAGTCACGACCTAAATCAACCTAACAACGTATTATAACATTTTGTGAAAAGAAATATCAAATGACAAAAATCTGTGGGCGTGGCTTGTTTTTTCTACAGCGGGCTGATTTGATGTAGTTAAGTAGTCAATTAATTCAGAAAGTTTGGGGAAAAGGTAATGTTAAAAGAGTTATTACAACCTAAAACTCCTCCTCACCATTTCTGTTTGTTGCCAAATCTGACTGTTAAACCAGTGTAGTTAAGTATGTTAGCCCCACCCATTACCTTAAAATCACATTAAATCAGATAATTTTACTGAAAACAAACAGGAAGTGGATTTTCTTAATGACACGCACAGCTGGCTTGTCTGGCAATCTGAGCTCATATGATTAGTTTTAATTTCTTGGGGACTTTAACACACAGCAAGCAGTGGATTATCCTGCTTATTGCATGGTCATTTGCCAAAGTAGGCCAAAGTTTAAAGTAGTTTTGCTCTTTGCAGCTTAATATTTGTAAAAATTTGTTAATCACTTTTGACATGTTAGATTTTCTAGTGCCTAGATTTCCCGTTCGCCATTAACAGTCCTCACCGGTTTCCTGTGCAGTGCATGTGAGTTTCTATGATAACCACAAATGTTTGGAAGAAGCACATTTATTTCGAAATGTGATCACAACAAACTGGCACTACCTGTGCGTTTCAACGAAAATAATGCACACGGCATCAGAATCAAGAATGTCAACAGACCTTGGAATAAATTATATGAATGTACTGTAAACTCAAAGTACTGTTTATTTATGGATTATTTACTGCATTTCTTTAGTTTAATCATTGATGTCAATTTTTTTTTTTTTTTTTTAGTTTTCCCTGACAAATAGAACATTCAACTGGGCAATGTATATTTCAAAAGAAATTGAATGAAATTATACATGTATTATTAAATTATATACTGTATTTAATTTATTTTCAATCCTTAAATATTTTACCCTGCTTATATACAACAATTACTCCAGATTACTTCTATATTGGTTGAATAGCAGCAACTTTGACTCATGTTCAACTCCCCAATAAGCCTGCACTCATCTCTTATTAATGGAATAAATTGCAAAGGAATGTGAAACGTGTTATATTAGAGTTTGCGGACTTGTGTCTCTCTCTGCTCCTCCCCTCAGCTTTGGGTTGATGTGGCTGCAATGGCGAGGAGTAAATTGGTTAGCAGGATGAGTAATGATGTGACGTGCTGGAAATGGAAGATCAAAGAACTTATTACAGCTGCACCTTTTTATAACATTCCATTGTTGTCAAGTGTCCCTGATATTAACCTGCCTCTGCCAGGCTTCCCCGGGTCTCTCTCTCTCTCTCTCTCTCTCTCATCAGTTTTAAAATCCTCTGGAATTTAGGACATGAATAACTCGTGTTCATTCACATTTTGATGAACCACTGAGAACCATATGAATTTATTTTGTAACCTCAAAAAAGTTATACATTGCAACAAAATCTTTTTAAATAGTCAAAGCTTGATGGTTATAAAACAGTGTCTTGTGCCTCATTTTTAGCATAGATGACTTCTCATCATGTGAGTGTAAGTGGTTGAAAATAATGTATATGGGCAGAATTTAAACAAATAAATTAAGTTAAACAATACTAAATTTTATTTGTTTGTTGTAATTTAGTCCATATTAATTATTTCTAACCACTTGTCTTAAAAAAATTATTAATCCAATGATTTTTTTTTAGTGTACTACATTCACAATTATTCATTTTCCTTTGGCTTAGTCCCTTTATTCATCTGGGGTCTCCACAGCCGTATGAGCCGCCAACTTATCCAGCATATGTTTTATGCAGTAGATGCCCTTCCAGCTGCAACCTAGAACTTGGAAACCCATACACACTCATTCAGACACACTTTTACACTATGGACAAACTAGTTAACTAAAAATGTAGTAGTATATAAAAATTGAAAGCTGTTACTCCATTTTGACATTTCACTATTCTCTGGAGTTGTACAAATGTGACTGGCTAGCATCTGCAGTGGTAGATTTGCATAAAAGGTTAAAGGTTAAAAGTTTTTCATTAGTACTCAACGAATCCACAATTCGTTTAGAAAACACTTTAGATCACTCGCTCTGATAACTGACATTGTGACTGTCATTGAGGTATTAGTGCTGAAGAATGTTGTTAAAGTGTTGACTAAATTAATTTTTTGACAAAGCATGAGGGTCAGCCCAAAATAACTAAAACAAGTATTTCACTTTGTGTAAATAGTGTGAATGTTTCCAAATGTCCTTTCTAACTTGTTAACATGCGGCATGGCTACAGTTATCAAACTCTGATGTCAAACTAACCTGGGTGTAGACCAAAAGTGCTAGTGTGAAAACACCCTAAGACAAACCTATTTTTTTTGTTTAATTAATTAGTTTTTTTTTTTCATTCAATGATTCAATTATTCATGAATTGATTGTGTTATTTTTGCATGATTTGTATGACTAAATTGTGGAAGTGATTATAATACCATGCAATCTTCAAAATTTATTTTTTATTATTCAATAATATTAAATTATTAAATTAACTAATATAAATCATTCATTCATTTATTAATATTGATTAATGATTAATAAATGTATATATTAAATTTTTAATCCTGTTTGGTCAGTCACACTATTCCAATGTATTTGACTGCTTTTGATTTATTAACTTGGTATTTTTTGCTTTTATTTACATTATTTAAACTATGAACTGTTATATGTCAAGTATCTTACTCTAACATGATCTGTTTTTTGTTCTACACAGACTTAAATTTATTCGTCAAACCAACAATCTCACCCCAACACCCACCGAAGTCCCCAAACACACACTCTGTTGTGAAAATCACACAAGCATCTTGCGAGAGATGTAAAATAATACAGACAGCCACAGTGAGCGAGCGAGGGAGATTAAGGGGAAGTGACAGAGCTGGCGCAGGATGTTTGACTGTTTGCTCTTGCTTTAACAACATCCTCTGCGCAGACACCCGATGAGGACAGAGATACAGGACTGAACCATTGTTCTGCTTATCTTCGTCCGGGCTCATATCTGCTGGCCCAGGGGCTATTGAGGAGCGGATGACCACTGATAGAGACACAAACACACAAACTGCAGGGAAGGACTGGCTCTAATTAGTGGATCAACATATTGGTGATGATGATGCTTAATTATCCTTGCTCATGTTGGATTTGGAGGTAAATCTGTGTTGGCAGACACTGAGGAGATCTAATTTAAGTCATAAATGTACTCATTTTCATATAGATTTGGAGGGTTTAATCTGCTGTTTGAGAAGAGAATATTTTGCTCAGAAAAAAATGTTAGGTTTAACTGTATGATTAAAAAAATGTCATGAAACGAAGCCTTTTTATATTATATAAATTGATTGTCATGATTATTTTAACTATAATAAAATAATTTCAGTGCTGTGAAACAAATGCATACATAAAATTATATAATGATAAAAAATTAAATAATATTATTTAGTATTTTGTTATTATATGCATTTTTGAATTGTTGAAATGTTGAATTTTATAATAATATAATTAGTGCCGGGCAAAGATTAATCACACCCAAAATTAAAGTTTGTTTTTACATAATATATGTGTGTGAATTAAATATATTTAAGATTTAACACTTGCTTGACGCTATTAACAGGTTTGTCGTGCTGTCCCAGGAGAAAACCCTATGCTCGGAGATAATAGAGCCCAGGGCTCCTGCCTGGTCAATAAGCATATAAGGGGGTCCAAGATCAGGTAGGTCTGGAAAGCTCCACCAAAAGGAGGAGATTGGTGGAAGGGGGAAATCTTCCAAAATAAGTCAGTAAAGGGCAAAATTTGTCTATTTATTGCACACTGTAAAATCATTTATTCTTTTATTTTCATTTCGGCTTAGTCCCTTTATTGTTCTGGGATCGCCACACCAGAATGAACCGCCAACTTATCCAGCACATGTTTTATGCATAAGATGCCCTTCTAGCCAAAACCAAACACTGGCAAACACCCACACGCTTGCGTTCACACACATACAACACGGTCAATTTAGTATATTCAATTCACCTATTGTGCATGTTTTTGGACTATGGGGGAAACCGGAGCATCCAGAGTAAATCTTTGCGAACACGAGGAGAACACGATCGAACCAGCAACTTTCTTACAGTGAGGCGATCATGTTACCCACTCTGCCACCATGATGCCAACACTGTAAAAATATTTGACCGTAAGATTACAGTAAACAACTGGATAATAATTGCTTTACTTTCACTGTAAGGGACTGTATGTAAATTCACAGTAAATTACTGTAAGGTACTTCATATTAACAATAATTTTGTAAATATTTCTAAATATAAAAAAGTGACTGTACTAGCATAAAAGTTCATGTGTATTAATTTTTATGTTAAATAAAAAAAGAGTGTTGGAATTCCTATAACTAACGTGCAATAATTATAGCCCTTTATACAGTAATTTGCTGTAATCATGATGCCTGCCTTAATTTCACTATAAAATTCTGAATACAAAAACAAGTTCAGTTAACTCCTTGTAAAGTGATACTAATGGAATTTACTGTGACAAATTACATTATTTTTTACAGTGTAGTCTTGGATCAATCTGATTGAATTATTGGTGATTACAGATGAGACACCAACCGCGATCAATTATATTGTGTGCTCCTATCGAAATTACTTTGTAGAGCTTCACTTATTATTTATATGTGATACACACACACACGCCCACACAGATAAAAACAAAACTATACAAAACAGTTTTGTTACATAGATATTACAATTTACATATAAGTTGTATCATATGCACATATATTTTATATATAAATATATATATATAAACATTTTCTCAAAATTATGCATGCATTCAAAACATAATCGTTATAAATCACATTCAATATAAAAGTTTATTTTGACAAAGTTAAGTGCACAATAATCATTAATATCGACAGCACGAAGTATAATATAATATAATATAATATATGTTGTGTATCTGTAAGTTTTCGAGTTTCAAGAAACAGGAACCAATGAAAAACATGTAAAAAGTGTAAGTATAGTGTAGGTACAATTCATTTTTAAATTTGAAATTTAAGATGTTTAACATAATCAGTAGATCAGATTTCCTTTATCAATCACTGTTTTAACAGGAAGTGGTTGGAGGGGCTGAAACCGCATCCATCAAATAAAGGGCAGCATTGGTGCATGAGGCTCAGGTAACATGAAGAGCAGAGGATTGCAGAGAGAGAGAGAGAGAGAAATGGAGAGACCCTGACCCTCAGGTGTTTGACTTGAGCCGCTGTCCTGGAGCTCTGCCCTCTCTCTTTCTCTTTTTCACTCTTTTTTTGTGGCAAGCTGATTTGACTCTAATTAGCAGGATTATAATTCTTGATATCAAGAATTCAGTTTTAAATAGTGGAGTTATTTCTTGATTTTAATTGTGATATCATTTGCATATCAGACATTAAAATTGAAAGTAGTAAACAAAGTAGTAATATTCCTGATATCATAAATATCTAGTTAAATGTCACCATAGGATTTCATTGTAAATCAACTGTGATTATCAAGAACTAGATGAAAATTCTAATTTAGCAAAATTCTTTTTTTTTTTATAGAAGTTACTACATTGTTCATATAGGAGTCATTGTATATTTTTGATAACAAGATTTGAATTGCTACTAGTAATAAAGCAATTTTTATCCATTTTCAGATTACAGAAATGCCAAATGCAGCGTTGAATCATTAAGCTGTGAACAATTAGTGACGACTGAATTATTGATACCAGGAATTCACATTTTTATGTATTTATTGATACCCAAAGTTTTTTTTTTCTTTATTTCAGCAAGACATAATAAACTGATGTGAAATTTCAATTAGCTATAAATCAGTTCTGGCAGTCTATTTGATTGCATTTATATAGAGTACTTGATATCAAGCATGATATTTTTACTTATTCAAGAATGCAATTTAATTTCTGGAAGTGATGACATCATTACTGATGCCAAGCTTCTAATAGTTAACATGTTTACTAGTAGAATTGCTGATATAAAAAGGCTATTGTTACTACTAGAAATCCAGTTCTTGCATTTAAAACTACACTCTAAAAATGTTTGCTGTTTGTTCAAACTATTAGCTGAAACAACACAATTTTAAGGTTTTCATTTGACAACTCAAACGTTTTATGTTCAATTCACAGACATTTGTAGAAACTAATAAGCTAACTTAATTTCTTCATGTTGTCCCAAAACAAATTGATTCTGTCGAACCCAGCATTTTTTAACAGTGTAGTGAAAACTGAACTGTAAACATCAAGAACTTATATCCAGCGATTTAACTAAAGTCAGAACAGCTTGCCGTGTGTGTGTGTATGTGTGTGTGTGTATGTGTGTGTGTTCATGTGTTCCTTCTGGACTTGTGAGAATGTGCTCCCTCACTAGGGTCACTGGTCCCAGAGGGACACTTCCACCCTCACACATGGTCCCAGAGGCAAAGGGAACATGTTGCACGCTGCAGGAATTCCTTAACCAGGATTTATTATTTTAGAACACATTGTTTAGGTGTAAAGCATCCCAGCTTCAGAGAGAACATTTTCATTTAACAGGATTTTTCATTTGAGGGAAAGTGTTTTGTAGGCCTGTCATGATCATGCATTTTCTGCTGATTTTATCCACAATTAATTGTTAATCCTTTTTTTAATAGGTCAACAATCAGACAATTAGTAATTGTAGTTTGTGATTAATAACATCAAAAAGCCAGATTTGTACACTTTTACGCTTTTTATTGTGCATAGGTTCAAATATTTATAAATTTTTATAAAATAAATCATGTATAATTTTTAATTTGAATATAAAAAACAAGTAAATAAACAATAAAATGACTAAACATGTTAATTAAAAAATCAACTACATCAAACTATTATATTAAATTGACATAATTTTAATGTACTTTCTGCAAGAGGCTTTTAATAATTTAAAATATAATACAATTTTATGTTTGTTTTAAAATTTTATGTTTACTAAGAATGTTTGTTTTTTTAATCTGTTCACTGTTTGACAATAAAAAATAATTTTACCTATACTCATTAACTGTTTACTTTTCAGTATATAAAAATCCTTTTGTAAACATAGTCTGACCCAGACACCAGTCTGTGTTTGACCCAAATTTAATAAATATCTAAATATCGAATAAATGTATAAACATTCTCACAATTAGGTATAGCCTTAATAAAGATTAAAATGACTTTATATGCTATTTGTACATGGAAGTAAACAATTTTCTTAAGTATTGACTAGAAATGAGGGCTTACTTTTACTTTAAAGTGCTACCAGCATCATCACGGGCAGTCAGAAAAGCATTTGTGCTGTTGATCAACTGTATGCATACTGAATCTATCATGATAAGCAGCTCTTGCCTTACACCTGCTGATACTTAGATAAGATTCAATTGAGGGGGGGGTGGGAGATGGTTTGTGCAGGTGGGGGCAGGGATGCTCACGGCAGGCCAGAAAGAACAACATCTTGTCTGCTTGAGTATGAGTGCAAAGCCCTGAGGGTCACGAGGTCCTGTTTACCTGTGGCAGGTATTTCCTCCCTGGGCTGATAAGAGCCGACCAGGGGAAGTGCTCCGTCACAGGTGAGTGAGTGGAGAGAGAGAGAGAGAGAGAGAGAGAGAGAGAGAGAGAGAGAGAAGGAAGCCAGATCTGCTGCTTAAAACCTCAAACTCACACACAAACTCATTGTGAAACATGCCTGTACCACTCACATCCATAACGCTGAAATTGCTCATGAAGCAAAGTAAAAGTTGCAAAAGTATCTTTTCTACATTGTGACAGTAGGTTGGCTATTAACAGCATCAGCTATCAGAGCTATTAACACAAAAGAAGATATTTTTAAGAATGTTGTGACAAAAAAATGATGACTTAGTTTAGTTTTTTCACCTAGTGGTGAAAAATATATATATGGAAATTCAATGGTTACTAACATTCTTCAAAATATCTTCTGTTAAGAAGAAGCATCTCAAATGTGTTTGGGCAGAATTATGACAGAATTTACATTTGTGGATGAACTAACGTTAGCCTGAAAATGTGGTTCCCCCAATTTAGTCAAATGTGAACAAACTTACCTAAACGGTCCTCCTCGTTTGTGATGTGTCAGAAAAGTGCTGAACGTCCCCGGTCTGTATTTTTAAAGTCTGGATTGTTTTGATAAAGCGACTCATATTAAACAGCATGATCTCAAGAGGAAACGAAGATATTTTACATTAAACGCCTCTCTCTCATTCAAAGCGCGCGAAAAAAACAAACAAAAAAAAAACATATGACTAAGTGAATAGGTTTGTTCCGACTGGTTGTTTATATACGATAACATTAACGACTTCTTCGGGCTACCTGTTTTTCTTAGACTCGGTTTTGTTGGGATTAAAATGCCCATTCAATT